TTATTTATTATTATTATTTTATTTTATTTCAGTTATTAAACTGTTCTTATCTCAACCCACAAGGTTTCTCACTTTTACTCTTCTGATTCTCTCCCCCATCCCATTGGGGCGGGGGGAGTGAGCGAGCGGCTGGGTGGTGCTCAGTTGCCAACTGAGGTAAAACCGTGACACTTCCCTAGTCATGTGTGATTTTATGGGTAATATAAGGCATAATTAATATCTGTAGTGTTTGAAATCTTAGCAGAGAATGCTATCACTGACTTCTGTAGTATCCACTTTTTCAAATGGACAACAGAATTCCTACTGATTTTGAGAACTCACTTCTTTGCTTTCTCATTAACATGCAAATTACTTTTAGGACAGTTATTAATGAAAATTGACATTGTATAATCTAGCTCTGGAGCCTCTGCTGCTTTTTAGTAAGCAATAACTTACTTCTAGCTCCCTGTAATCTACAAGGTAATGCTTCTGAAATTCTGTATTTCGTAACCGTAGCTGAAAATCAGTCTTCAGAGTTCCAGCATCTGTGGCAACATGTGCTCATGCATTAATTTGCTGAGTCAATGTTCCAGCTTTCTGGTTCACCTCTTTTACTGAGGTGATAACAGCTTTTCTAAAGCTGTTCTGCAACAGAACTGGCTGCTTTCTCAACCAATGATGCATTGTTTTGTATATTATGCTTTAAAAATTTCACAGGGGACAATCCGTCCCCATTAAATGGACATAACTTCCCTAGGTTGCTCATATGCCTCCTAGTGCTATTACTTTTCTGTTGTTATCTGACTGCAGCTATCAACTACATAGACACTATACTAAGACAATACGTTCAGCTGACACACAAGCAGAAATCCTCCTGACTGTACATCTGCCTTATAAGTGCCCCTTGCCTTTATAAAAATATTGAGCAAAACTAGAAATGGTGAAATTCTTCTGGAAAGCAAAAAATGCTAGAGTATAGAGGAGGAAGGTTTAGAGAGGAAATGTTAGATGCATGTGTAAACTGAGGTAGCACTTAGTAACTTAAATAGGAACACAAAGGTTAAGTGTGTTCTTATAGATGATAAACTCTCAACATGGAAATTATTCATTATATGCATGTAATAGTAAACTAGTTTTATGAAGCAAGACTGCATCCGAAGAGGCTGATTTGCTTGCAGCTGTAGGCTGTTTGTACTTCCTGTGTGTGTCAAGTAGCATAAATATTATTTAAGTGGTGGGATTTTTTTTTTTTCCCCCAGACAAGCAAAATGATGAAGACTAACAACTACAAATTGGCTATTTCTTTCAACTTTGTAATTATCCAGGTTATGTTCAATCATTTGAAATTTAGATGGGGTGTCTGGGCAAGTCACAAGGTTGGAAGCATAAGAGAATGGCTTCTGTGTATAATTAACCCCATTCCAAAAATCCCTAGTCACAACTAGGTCAGACATAAGTAATTAATTATCTTTGGCATGAGAGCTTTGACATACACAGTAGTTTTGAAGATAAAGTAATGAAAATCTGGAAAATTTAGTAGCATTGCTGTGTAGTACCTGAGAGGAGGTGGATATTGGATAGCATTAATATGTTATCTCACTGTTACTTCTAAATATAGTTTAGCTTAATACTGTGTGATTTCCTAATGAGAGGATGTTGCTGTAACTCAGTAGTTTGAATTCCTTAGCACCGTTTCTCAAGATTTGTTCTAAGGCAGAGGTATTCCTTTGTTTGTCCTGGACTTCTGCTGTTTCCATTAGCAGCCAGTAGCCCATTTAATCCAAGACAACTTGTTACAGCCCCACACCTACCACTGTAAACCTCTGTTCCCTTGCCGGCTCCTTTTGGTGCCACAGCCACCTCACTGCAGACTAAGCAAGCGATGTCGGAAGATGAATATGTGAATAAACTTTGTCCTCCAACCTTGGCATTTTCCAGCTTCAGCCATCAGCTTTGTATTTCACATAGCACTGTGCTAGCTTGTCTGCCTTTGTCATGGAAATCTTCCTATTTGGGAAAATTACATAATATTCTGATTTCCAGTATGCCCTTGAGCTTAAAAAAGAAAAACAAACCAAGAAAAAAGAAGAAAGTTAGCATGCTATTCAAATCAGAATAGGGTAAAGATCTCATGAGTATTGGCTTGAAAGTGCTGTAGTCTATTGTATCAGTAGCAATACAAGAAATACTACATTCTGGGTATTTTTGGGTTCTTTCATCTGTCACATTTCATATTTAACCTGATTTAAAGATCTTGGAAGAAAAAGTAGATGACAAACCTCTCTTTTAAGCCATTTCTGGTTTGTGGTTTGGTTGTTTTTCTTTTTTCAAGTTGGCTTCTATTTTTGATTAATCTTCTGAGCAACGATATTCTATTTTTCATTATACACATTTTATTCAAAATACTGAATCTGAGATGTTAATTCAAAGCCAGAATTGTATTATTGTGTTTATAATATAAATATATTATCAGTTTATTTATACCAGTATCTGACTTTAAAATTCCCCCTATTTTTGTAGGGGTAATAAATATAAAGAAATTTTTGCGGAGTTCTGAAATTAGCAATAATGATTACGTGCTTCTTTATAGCGATAGATACTACATAAAGTTACGATGTTTAGTGCTTTATGAAAAAATAAGCATGCTTTTTATTTTATAAAAGTATATAGAGTTAACTTTATTTAACACCCCTTTTTGGTTTTTTTAAGTATAGCTAAGATAGGAGATTTTCAAAACAGGGACTCTGGTAATGTGACTTACACAGATTCGACCTCTAAATGTCAAATAATGTTGTTGGTTGCATATTAAAGACAATTTCCTAAGCCTTGGAGGGGAAAAATGTTTCCATTCATGACTCATGTCCAGGCTAATGCTCTTATTTCCTACAATAATTATACAGTATCACCGTGTACGGACACAGGCTTTAAGTGTTTCTGAAACAAGCAGTGATTGAATAACACGTTATCTCACTCCCTTTGTTACAGGCGTTACCTAGAACTTAATTCCTTTTTATTCTGTCTGGTTCCTAGCTCTGTCTGAGCAGTAGTTTCCTGCATTTGTTGAAGACAAGTCAAACCTTGTACCACTAGGCCCTTGGCCATCTTCTTTGCTAGCTTTTGCATTCAGCAGCAGAAGTGCAGCTGTGTGCATGGTTTCCATCTCACCCATGAATATTCTAGGGCTGAAATCTTCAGTTTGGGGGAAAAAGAGAGTAAACTTTTTGCCCTTTATCCTGTGAGAATATTTGACACGTCCTAAAATAGCAGACATGCTTGAGAGTAAACTGAAGTCACCCATCTGCCTTGTTGCTTTTATCTGAAGGAAATGTTTCTCAGCAGCTTCTTTATCTACAAATAAATATTTGGTAGTGCTGTGCTTTGGTAGTGCTCTTCCTGTATTCAAATGAAAACAGCAGGAGACACACAAAGAGAAGGGGAAACTATTTGTCTCCCCATTAACAAAACAATCTCTAAAGCTGCATGTCATTTGTGGGGAGGGCTGGGAGAAAATGAAGGTGTGATTTGACTTGCACAATACGAAAACATTTCGGAAACAGAATTACATCTGTAACAAGGAAAGGCATTAGGTCAGTTGATGCCATGGACAATTCTCTCTTTAAAACGAAGTATTACTGTCTTTCGGTTTGAGGGC